CCCAATACTATTATGGGCTACTGGACTCTTTTAGAATATTTTGCTGAGTTTACACACCTATAATATTCAAATAACGGAACTTATCAAAAAAAGGGGATACAGATGAATGTCCATTTTGCATCTGTGTATTCAAAGTGGTTAGGATAGATATATAGTTACATTCTCTTAATGAATAGAGTGATTTGTTCTAATGGTATTTGTAAATAGAATATCATGTCCTCATCTTGTACAGCAATTAACCACTATGAAGAATGTACACAATGTGTTTATTATTGAAACTGTCCTACCAATTTGGTTTGAAACTGTCTCATTGCTATTTGTTTCTCAATAAAATTTTAAAAAAATTTTAAAAAAAGAGTAATGCACATCCATTTACCTAGAAAAAAAAAGAAAGAAAAAGAAGTAAAGCCATGCTGTTATGTTGAACTATAGGGGACTCAGGCCAACAATTTCTGACTTTGCCAGTGAAGCAGAAGACCCAATTTTATTATGGACTACGGGACTGTTCTAGAATATTTTGCTGAGTTTACACACTTATAATATTCAAATAACGGAACTTAACACAAAAAGGGGATACAGATGAATGTCCATTTTGTATCTGTGTATTCAAAGTGGTTAGGATAAATATATATTTGCTTTCTGTTAGTGAATAGAATGATTTGTTCTAATAGTGTTTGTAAATAGGATATCATTTCTGCATCTTGTACAGCAATTAACCACTAAGAAGAATGTATGCAATGTGTTAATTATTGAAACTGTCCTACCATTTTGGTTTGAAACTGTCTCATTCCTATTTTTTTCTCAATAAAATTATGTAAAAAATAAAAATAAATTAGCAATAAAAAAAGAAAACAAACAAGCAGAAAAGATAAGCAAAGCAGTCTGACCTCAGGCCACACTGCGTGCATCAGCAGGCAATAGAAGCAGGGCAAGGGTGCTAATGCCACAACCTCGGATTTCAGAGCAATGCAGGCTAAGGCTGGCCTCCTCGCTGTAGGAGTGGGGCTGTATGCTTCAGTTTCAGCTCTGCAAGCAGGTGCTTTGCAATCTGCTCCACAACCCAGCTGTCTCCTGCAGCTACCTCTCATGCAGTCATGGTGGGAACGTAACGCTTGGATCCCCAGTGGGAAGCTGTCCTGGAATTGATCAGAGGCACAGGTTCTAACAAGGAGCCTTTCAGAACAATGGCATACAACCAGGCACTCCAGAGAGACAGCATTTAGGTTGGAGACACTCAAGGACTCCGGCCCCAGCGGAGCGCCTGGTTCTCCCTGCAGGTCACAGAGATCGGCACTCTGCTCTCTGCTGCCTTCTCTGCGAGACCCTCTGCAGTCCACAGCTTTCCCTTCAGCTCTGTGGCCCGAGTCCCCCTTTCTTGCAAGCCACCAGCTGGAAGCTAAGGAGAAAGAGCAGACTGTGTCTGCCCTTCATGGCCTTGTGGTTTGTCTCCTCAGGTTTCTTTTTTTTTCTGGCAGATCCCTCCTAGTTCTTGGGCATTTCATTTTCTATTTATCCTTCCTTAAGGTGATACTTTCTAGTTTCTGGATTCTGGATCTTGAAGAGACTTAGTTGCTGCTCATCACTCTGCCATTTTCCTGGAAGGTATTACTCTCCTATTGTAATTTAACTTTATTGAGGATGCCAGGTAAGGAGGACATAGAAAATTCATCCTGTAATGACTGCTCCCAATTTTACTTTGTTATAGTACATACTTTGAACTATTAAAGAGATAATTGGGAGAGTCCATAACTTTTTCTGTTACTTTGATCTTTAGAAATCCATCCATCTGAGTTTAATCTCTAATTTCAAATTTCATGAAAGATTTTCTTCCTTTTGCTATTTGTGCCTAATGCAGTCTATTGGGACCATGGAGAGACAAAGTGGACCCACACCACAAAATTTGTTCAGAAATGCCCACCACGAAGCACACACACCCCAGTGTCCAAAAACTTAATTGCTCATATAGTGCAGCTTAATGAAAGGAGCCTAGAAGTTTCCATGCATGTCCCAAAAGGACTTCAGAGAGAAGGTAGCAGAGGCTAGCTCAAGCCTTTCACTGTGCTTGAGGGTTCCTGTGAGGACTTGGATTGATTGCTTGGGACTCCCCTTCAGTGCCCAGGGAGAGCACACCTAGGATTTGCCATTACCTGCCTGGTTGTAGTGAGGAACAAAAAGGAGAGTTGCCCATTTACCAAGTATCAAAATGGTGTTAGAGTCCTTGTCAAAGTCCAAGCAAGTCAAGCGCTCTCTCTCTCTCTCTCTCTCTCTCTCTCTCTCTCTCTCTCTCTCTCTCCCTTCTCTCTCAGTTCTGTTCTTCCATTTGGAAGGATGAACAAAAAGGAACATTTAACAGAAAAACAATCTTTAAGAAAAACTAATACACATGTTGAACAAATGGCACAGGAAAAATTATTTTAACATGTAAAAATTCATTAAGCAGTTCCTTTTATTTTTTTTCCTTTTGAACTAACGCAGGCATAAGCACACAGGCACACCCACACATGTCACTGGATGCAGAAGGGCTGTGGCACAAGCGGTGTCACTGGAAGATCCAAAACCAATCTTCCTGCTCCCAGCTTTGCCACTGCATTGACATTTCTCAGGAGCTCAGGAGGAAAACACAGACTCAGGATACTCCCCAAGCCTGGCGGATTGGAATCTGCACTTTATAGACTTCTTAAAATAAAGTTGTTCTTTAATCCTTTAAAATAGTTCCATATGGAGACGTTTTCCCCGCACATACCTGTTTGATCAGATTCAGCTTTAAAAATAAACCAACATGTAAGTGTGTTCTGAATTCAGGAAAGCAACTTGATTTTAATATTTTTCCCCATGTTATGCCCCAAAATGTGCAAACTAAAATTTTTGCTTTTAAACTAGTTGTTTTAGTGCTATGTAAAGGCAGGATTACCTAGTGAGTAATTGGTTTTGAGGGTTGTAAAAACATACTTATTCACATTCATGTTCAAGATACTGAGGACACCAACCTTAACAGAAGAAAATCATATCTATATGTGCATATTGATTTGTTTTAAGAGAGAATGCACTCAGTTCTGGTGAAGCACCAAAGTATAAATAGTGTTTGATACACATTTGATCCTAAAGAGAGGCAGTTCTTTTTGGGAGGGTTCAGGGAAGAATGTATTAACAGATTACTGTTTCCAACTGTTCGGCTATGTGTGAAGGAGAGTTCACAGGTGTGGCTTCAAAGATTGCAGATGTATTGCACTTTCCAAATTTGGTACTCATCATGTAGTATTTGAAAGTATTTCATCATACTTTGAGTTAAAGAAATGAAATGTCAATAAAATTTCACAATTTTTTAAAAAGTAGAATGGTAATGAATCCACTATTTTAATCTGATCGTGATTTAATTGTTTTCTTTCTACCATGATTTCTCCTGATAACACATTATTCCCACGCTTCGAAGTTTCCTTCTACTCTTTCCTCTTCCCAAGTTCAGTCTGCTTGGTGTTTTCATGCTCATCCTTATCTTTCTTAGTCCTATCGAACACAGAACATGATGTACATGAACATATTGTTGTACACTCTTTTCCGGCAATTGTTTCCTCTGTCTATCTTCTTTGCCTAGCTAGACTACTAAAGTCCTTTAGAGTAGATCTGATATGTTGACAATATTATATTCCTAGTACATCAGTCAGACCAGAACATATTAGGTGTTTAGTAACACAAGCCAAGTCAAAGTGCCCTATTGCCTATAGAGAGTTGCATTTTTCCAGGGTACATGGAGTCAGTAGGCTCATTAAAACTCTGTAGGGCATTATGGGAAATTTAAGTAACAGGTTATTGTGGGAAGTGAGTTGAGAGTAATCTCAGGTAAACTTTGTGATCTTTACAGATGTACCTTAAACGAACTCCTGATGCCAAATTCACTTACCCAAATCTGCCAACGTGAGAGTTTATGAAAAGTGACTCAACGAGGTAAATGAAGTGTACACCAGGTTCTGGCAATAATATCTTGGCATGTGTTGCTGGCAGTCACTTATTGTCTGCTTTGGAGGCAAACAGCAAAATTGGGGAAGGGAATTGGCAAGTACCTAGTTTTTAGACTAAAGTCTTAATGTTCTTCCCTTGACTTGGTTGTCAGCCAAAGAGCCTGGGTTAGCTCACCTCATTTCCAGGTGGATTTTGGAGGAGAAGGTTGCCAACAAAGACACGCACCATGACTCTAGAGTGTTATTCTATCTCTGAAATTCAGGTGGAATTGGAGTCATTTTGTCAAAGGACTTCACAATGTTTTTCATCTGTACTGCATTGTGGGAAAATCAGCATAATCAAATATATCATGGAAAATCTGCTCAAATCCCTATTTGTTGATCTGGGGAAAGAATCTAAGAATTTAAGGAGTTCCACTTTTTTCATTCTTTTTTTCCATTCATGAATACAATTGCTAAGTCCTGGTCTATCCTTAACTACTGCTGCTAGGAAGATTTTTGTGGAGTTATCATGAAGGTAGAATAATTTTTCTTACTTCCTGTAACTCACCCAGTAAAACATGAACTTTCATTACTCATTTTTTTTTTCTGTAAGAGGCCAGAAAACTGTCACATATATGTTCTCAGGGATAATATTTACAGTTCATCACAAAAAATACTTCTTTTGCTATATCCCGGCTGATTTACATGTGATAATTAAATTAAATATTCTTGTTTTTCTTGTGTAAAGGGCACTGATGTTCATTGTAACATCTTTACTTACAATTTAATTAAACATGGATTTTCTCATTATAGTCTGTATGAAAAATTTCACATTAAATAGCAGGCTTCATGTGATTACTCTGTTTTAAGGTCACACAGCCAATTATCCAATCAGCTTTGGTGTCTATGATGGCTTCCTATGATCTGCAAACACACAAGTATCTTGCAGTTACAGGATATTTATTCAGGGAGGGCACTCTTCCTTTATTGATTCTGTCACTGCCCAAATCTTTTTGATTGCCAGGATTATTAATCACATCACTTCCTTAGTTTCAGCCCTGCATTGCCACCTGTTCCAGGTCTTTGTTGTTCTACCTTTCACCACAGCAGCTTAGCGTAAGCCACCTTGGTCAGTGGGGGAAAAGTAGCATGGTCCATTCCTAAAGTTAAGTGGATCATCTAAGATGAATGTCCTGAAACGTATTGAGTAAGTATCATGGAAACAGGAATACTTTCCAAAATTTATGATTAAGTAGCCAAAATTTTTTTGTTGTTGTTGTTGTTTTTTGTAAGCTCAGATATTAAGGTTGGGCATTTTCTAAGAATCATTTTATGGGCAAGGTATTGTAGTAGGTTTCCATAGTAACTTTGTTTACCTCTCACCTCAGCGTAAGTGGTCTTTTCATCATTGCAGAAGAATGCAAAGTGGTCATCAGGGAGAGGAAGAGAGAGCTCATGACCCCCTGAATCACAAGGCTGGTGACAGCTGAAGTGGGGCTGCAAACCTCAATATGTGTAACTCCATCTTGCTTTTCTAGAGAGAAATAGAAAAGATGCTCAAGTTGCAATGTAACATTCCATGACCCAGTAATGCCTCTGGACATTGCCAATCAGGGAAACCATACTAATCCAGTCCTGCTTCCATGCCTTCCAGACTCAGGACAACTATCTTTGTGTAGATTGGGCCAACTTAGTTCTGCCCCTTTCAACAGGATCTTCAGGTGTAGCTTAATTTCAGGAAGCAATATGTTGTCCATTTAGATTTCTGTGGTACAACAAAAATAATCTCCCAGTCAATTGCCATCTGGCTTAAGACGGTTTTTAATGGGCTAAGGTGCTCCAAAGATACATCTCAATGAAAATAGAATTTTTGTAATTATTTGAGGAAAAACATATATAAAGGTCACTGTGCACTTGATACTCTTGGGAAGGAAAAAGGAAGAGGTGATAGTAACTAGATGCCAAGTAGAAGCAAAAGGGGGTCCATGAGGCATAGCCTGCTCTTCTGTGAAATATGCTTCTTTTTTCATTTGCAGAGTGTATGACAGTATTGGAAGGCCTAGCATTAGCACGATGACTGAACATGCTCAGTAAAAAGAGCACAAAGACTTTACTAAGACAGCGATAAACATTTGCCATTAATAATTTGTAAACCTAACTTTCTTTTATTCTTCCCCCTTTTTTCACAACAAAACTGTCCTTTAAGATAGATATGCAGCTACTTTCTCTTAGTTCACTGAGAATAAAAGTTTGTACTAATGTTGCTTAGACAAGAGATCATGTCTGCATCTTGTCCTCTGAATAACCACTAGGAAGACAACAATATGCAGTGCATTAATTATTGTAAACTTCCTACTAACCTGTTTTGAAACTGTTTCATTGTTATTTTATCCTTTTTCTCATTAAAATGCATAAAAATTATAAAAACATAGTATTTATTACCAAACATTTTTTAAAC